GGGGTGAAGGCGGCTTGCAGAGGGGCTGGCCCTCAGAGGGCCCAGTGGAGCAGCCAGCATGGGGGAACCGAGTGTGATTGGGGGGCGCCCCCCCCGGGCAGGAGTCCTAGAGAGCATTGGCACGAGGGCTGCTGAGCCAGCACATTGCTTTGTGTACAAATCACCTCCTTTCCTCCTTTCTCTTTTGTCCCCATCCCCCCACCTCTCTCCATTTCTAAATTCTTCCCAAACCACCCCAGCCTTCAGGCTTCAGGAGGAAGGGCCAACGGGTGGGCGGGAGGCGCCTGGTCTTGGGTGGGAGAGGTCCCAGGGCAGGAGTGGGGAGGGAGGGGAATCTGGGAAGGAGGGGGTTGATTGCGGCCCCCTCCCCTGCCCCACGTGCTGTGCCACACCCTGTGTGCTTCTGGATGGGACAGACCACAGGAGGGGTGTGTTGCTGGACCAGACAGGGTGGGAGAGAGAGGCTTGGAGAAGGTGGGACCCAGGAAGAAGGGTTGTCTTCCAGGCCTGGCCCCTGGGGTAAAGGATTCTGACAGCTGGAGGGGGCTGAGGTGGGGCACAGGTGTCTTTGTCATACAGAGAGACTGTGTGTCTGTGCATGTACCTTGGTGTCTGTGCATAACCGTGGTGTGTGTGTGTGTGTGTGTGTGTGTGTGTGTGTGAGCGCGCGCGCACGCTTGTGAAAGCCTGGCACTGCTGTGGGTGTGCACAGCTGGGTGACGTGTGTGTCCTCGAGGGCCCACACGTGTGCCCACAGCTGTGAGGGGAGAAGCATATGGCTGCCCCTGGATTGCCCAACCTGGGCCCAGCTGGAGCCCCAGTCTCTCTCCTGGCAGATGCCTGACCTGAACATCTGGCCACATCTGCCCAGGGGGCCATGAGTCCTGGAGCCCCCATCAGAGCTAGAGGGGCCCGGCCCTTCCTCTCAGTGTTCACACGGCCCAGAGAGGGACGAGGCTTGCCCTAGGTCACACAGGCGGAGGCAGAGCGGGGACTGTACCCGAGCCTGGGGATCCCAGGACAGGTGCTCTCCCGGCCTTCACTGTTCTTGTCCTCCCTCTGGAGCCCTTTGCCCGTGCAGCTCCATGGAGCGTCCCTGAAGCTGGTCCTGCCTTGGCCCTGCCATGTGCTCCAGGGACGTCCCGGATGGCCCTTCTCGGGCCACAGCTTCCTCATCCGTGTGAAGGGTACTTATGCGAGTGGACTCTCTGATCCCTGTGGCATCTGGCAAAGGCCTGCCACCCAGGGTGACCCACTCTTCCCCGTTTGCTGAGGACTTGCCTGGTCTCAGCACTGCAAGTGCCGTGTCCCTGGAGCCCCCTCAGCCCCGGGCAAAGAAAGATGGTTGGTCACCCTGTCTCCAGGGACATTTCTCTTTCCACCACATCCTTTCCATTGCTACCCTGGTCTCCGCCCCTGCCGTCTCCACTGGCACCTGGAACTTTCCCCTTCTCTTCCTGCCCGTTCACATTCCCCAGGGACCTCTGTGTCTCACTGTCCCTCCCTCTGACTGCAGGGTCTCTTCCTCCCTGTTCCTCTCTTCCCTCTCTGTCGGGGTCTCTAGCTCCCCTGTCTGTCTCTGGGGTCCCTCTTTCTCCTCTCCTGTCCCAAGCATTGTCACCTTGTTGGTTTCTGGGGTCTCTCTGTTCTCTGCCCTCTTCTGTTTCCCCCCTCTCCATCTCTGGTGTCTCACCTGCTCTGTCTCCCTGGTCCTGTCCCCGGGTCTCTGGCTCGCCACCTTCCCTGGGTGGCCCAGGCCTCCCTCGCTCCTCTCCCCCAGCTCGCACCCCCAGTGCTGGCTGGGGTGGGAGCCAGGTCTGGGGGCTGTGACCGGGCCGGGAAGGGGAACCCAAGCAGACATGGTATTTATGTTAGGACTTCAAAGTGGAGCAGAGCCCGAGGCGGGGGTGGTGAGGGCTGTCAGGGGTGGGAGGGGTGGGAAGATGGTGGGCAGAAGCCAGACTGAGGTCAGCTCAGGCCCCTCCCTGGTGAGGGTCTCCTTGGTGACACACACCTCCCCCATGGGGACACTGAGACCCAGAGTAGGAACGGAGTGGGCTATTTTGGTGCAGAGTTCCAAGAAAGGCACTTCCTGCACCCCCGCCCTGTCCCCTCCTTTCTTTCTGTCACCCTGCAGGAGCAGCTGGGTCCTCTGAGCATCAGCCCGGCCTGGGAGGCAGGGGCTCCGGGGGCAGCAGGAGCAGAGGGCTGCATCTCAGCAGGAAAACATCCCTGGCGCTGGGACAGGAGCGCGTTCTCAGCTCTCTGGCAGAGGTCTTGCCTGGCAGGGCAGCGAGGGTCTGTAACCCTGTCGGCCCCGACTGGGCCAGGCTGGTCCAGCCCCTCGAGGCCTCTGGGGGCCACTCGGGCTGCCTGCCCCAGGGCCCAAGGGGCCAAGATGGCCGTGAAGGTCACCCCACCCCTGCCCCCCCACCCTTGGCCTAACCCCTGCTAAAGACACCCAGCTGCTGGGGCCAGGAAGGCACAGGGTCAGGGGCCCAGGCCATGGGCGGGGTGGGCAGGAGGGACTGATTGTCTCATCTTGCGACTCAGACCTGTGTCCTAAGCCCCTCCCAGGAGCCAGACCCAGCAGACACCCCTTCAGCCTGGGCCACCCCCTCGGGAAGCCCCCCTCCCAGACCAGAGGCTTGCTCTGGACCCAAGACCCTCTGGTCTGAAGCCCACCCAGGCCTCCAAAGCCCCTGCCCCTGGACCAGTCCCCCCCCCCCCTTCCCAAGGCACTTCTCGTGAATCAGTCAGACTGGAATCTGATGAGCTCAGGCCTCCCCACCCAGTGCTGCCGGCCTCTGCCTTCTGCCTGGCCAGTGGGGTCACCACGCCCCCAAGGGGGTCTTCTCAGCAACTCCCAGCCCCCAGCAGGGTCCACCATGGGGTGGGGTAGCTGAGTGGTGGCAGGGATAGGCCACGGCAGGGGGTGAGATTAGTCAGGAGAAGGACTTGGACCTCTTTTGCATCATCAAAAATGTATGTGTGTCGTTACGTTGTATGTGTATCTCTGTGTGTGTCTGCACTTGTCTCTGAGTTTGTGTGTGTGTGTCTGCACTTCCATGCCTGTGCAGCGTGGGAAGCAGCAGGCATGTCTGAGAGGGGGCCTTGGGTGTGTCAGCGGCAGTCCTGCAAGGGTAGGTGTAAGCGTGCCATGGGAGTCCTTGTGGAGCAGGTCACCACATGTCTCTGTGTTGGCCTGTCTCCATGTATGTGCGTCAGGGTGTCACATTCTGAACCCGAGAGGGAGAGTGTGAGGGAGTATCTCTGAGTTTGCAGATCTAGGGATGTCTGTGTCAGGGTGTGGCTCAGAGGAGGGGCCAATGTGTGTCACTGTGTCCCATCCTGCAGGGCATGAATGGCTAACAGTGTCAGGGTGTCCTAACACTCTGGGTGTTCCTGTTAAGGGTGGCGGTGCTCAGGCTTCACTGTAGGTGACCCTGGCAGGGCAGGGTGTCACACAGCCTGTGAGCAAATGTGAGTCAGGGTGTTTGCGTGTTAAGCTGTGGGCGTGAAGGCGGTCGCAAGGCCATGGCGGGGAGTTAACTGCTTGGTGTTGAAGTTGAGTCAGGGTGTTGTGGGTCTCAATGACCTCTTTCCTCACCACCCTGGCAGGGTCCTCTCTCAGGCCACCCCACAGGCCTGGCTCCTGAGCCTGCCTGGCCAGAGAGCCCTGGGGGGAAGAGGCCGCTCTCTCATTCCCTTCCCAACCTCCATTAGCAGGATCCCCATTCGCAGGATGGTCCCAGGGCCCTTCCTGGCACCAGGTCCTGCACAGGTCCTCTGAATGCCCTGGGTCCCCGGGTGGCCTCAGGAGAGAAGGGAACCTGGCATGTGACTGGGAGTGGGGCACGCCCGCCCCCTGGTGGCAGCAATGGAGGATGTGCCGCCCCATGTCCCAAGCCACGGGATGAACAGTTAGGCTGAGTCTTCAATCACTCCACATATATTTACTACATGCCAGTTCCGGGCCAGGCATTGTTCTAGGCCCCCAAGATTCAGCAGGGAACAAGGCCGACTTGGCTCTGGCCTTCTAGTGAGGAAGACAGACAATAAACAAACTCACACAGGGAACTACTGTGAGGTGATAAGTGCAACATTTCCAAGTGAGGAAATGACTCTGCTGCTCCTCCAGAGATCCAAGCGTCAGGGTTCCAGCCCTGCCCTGCAGCAGTGGATGCCGGAAATGGCACGGCACCTCTCAGAGCCCTGACCTCCTCTTCCAGAAGGCCAGAGGTGGAAGGCAGTAGTGGGGGGGGGGGGCAGTACAGAGTCCGAGCGCACAGTAGGCTGTTACTGCCCAGATCACAGCTGTCTCCCTCTGGCTGGGGCTGCGGGTGCTTGGTCCATACGGACACAACAGATTGCTGAGTGGAAGAGTAAACAACTCCTTCTGTTTTGGAGGATTGCAGAATCTGAAGCTCCACGGAACCTGGTGTCTGAGTCCTCTGCCCTGTAACAAGCCACTTTGCCTGAGCAAGCCTCAGTTTCCTCATCTATAAAATGGGGACAATAAGATCAGTTCTAGACCAGCCTGTCATTGCCTGCCCTGCCTGGAGCCCCAACCCCTGTCTCATGACCCTTGGTCATGATGATTTATCTGGCCGGGACCCCTAACCCATCAGAATTTCTTCAGAAGGTAAGCCAGAAGATTCAGGGAGCAGGCAGGGCCTGGCAGTGCTCCAATGAGCCACTGCTGGGGGCATGCTGAATTCTCAGAGCCAGGAATTAGGACTGAGCATGGGAAGGAGGTGGGAAGGGCTTGCACAGGCCCCCTCGCAGGGGCCCAGAAGCCTCAGCCAGTCCTAGTTCCCATGAGACCAGCTCTTCATCCGGCCCTGGGGTTCTCTGAACACCCCCTGCAACCATTCCAGGTCCTTCCTCTGAGACTGAACTTGAGACATCCTGTGTTTGGTTCCCAGAACCCAGCCCTCCCTTAACCTCCCACCCCACTGCCCTTCCCTCTTAGTTATCAAACTCCAATTAGTGGACAACATTTATTGAGCGCCTGTGGAGTGCCCAGCACTGTACAGGGCACTCGGGTGGGTGCGGGACTGGGGGGGACATACAAAAGAGTGAAGGGAGAATCCCCACCAACGAGAAGCTTGTGGGGGGCGGGTAGAAGTGGGGGAAGTTAGAGCTGCTGATGGCCTAGTGAGAAATTTGGGAGCCCTGCAACCTGGGCTGTATCTGGAGGGTCTGAAATCCCAATGTCCAGGATTTCTACCTTCCAGCTGTCATGTCTGATATATGAGCCGATGTCCCTTTGTGCTCAGTGTCTGAGGGAGCACCTCAGAGACTGGCTAGGGTCCTCCTTCCACCAGGGGCTAGTTCCTTCCCAGGGAGTGGTCCCCTGAGGCTGGCCTCATTCAGACCCCTGACTCCCAAGACAGCTGAGGGCCAGAGGTCTTGGCCCTGGCACTGTCCCCAAGTTGCCTGGCAGCTGCCAGACTGCAAACCCCGTGACCACCTACACTGCCGCTGCCCTGGAGCTGCGTTCGTCCATCAGGTCACCCTCTCGGCAGCTTCCTGAGCCATGTGCACCCCCTTGTGGTTGTTGCTGGTATTTTCTTTGCTCATTTGTTGCCTGATCTGGGCCTCCCTTTGGGGTCTACCGGACCTTCAGGGTTAATTTACTGGTGGTTTAGAACACAAGGAGCAGCTGGAACCTGACCCCTGGTTTGGGTGTGGGGGTCCCAATGGCCTCCTGTGTGGTGTCCTAGGAGTCACTTTCCCAAGCCTCAGTGGGTAAAAAGCCAGGCCCTGTGTCCCGTAAAGCTCTTGTGAGGTCCAAGAGAGTCAAACGCAGAGAAGATGATTTCCGAATCCTCACCTCACTTCAGAAGCCTGTCTCCTCTGTCCCACTCCCTTGGGACATCACAGTGCCTGGGAGGACTTCCCATCTTGGGGAAAGACCAGAACGTGGGTGTTGTCTCAGCTGGACCCGAGCCAGTCCCCAGGGCTGCCTGGAGAGCCTCTCCCTTCTGTGAGAGTGAAGAACAGACCCTTGGAGAGGTGTGTGTATGTGTGTTGCTAGCATCCAACCTCCTTCCCTCCCCTTTCCCCTAGTCTGAGCTCTGCTTTGCCACAAAACCATCCATTCTGACCCATGGAAGACTTCTGGGAGAAGGTAGGGCAGCAGTAGCACCCCGATTTCACAGATGAGGACACTGAGGTTTGGAGGTGCTTGGCCTCCAGGTGGTCTGGGCAGCACTGGGCCCCGACATCTTGCTGCCTCCCCAAATCCTCCTGACACCCAGGAGTGGGTGGGGCCTTTCAGGGCCTTGATGCCCCACCCTCCACTGCCAGAGGTCGGGCCCCTGTTGGATTTGTCCCCTGTTGGGCACACTCACCACTGCGGGACGGCTGGCCTCCAGCTGGGGGAGAAGGATGAGAGGCCAAGGGGCCTTGGGCCCTTCGTCTGGGGCCTCCCCAAAACCCCCTGGGCTTTACTCCAGTGCCCAGATGTGGCCAGTCCAGGCACCTCCAGGCAGGTGTGATCAGAGGGCTAGACAGTCAGAGGAGGTGGCAGACACGGAGCGGCCCGGGGTGGGGAAGACTAGGGGGCTGTGCCTTGGCCAGTGGGGTGGATGGCTCTGAAAGGCCTTCCCAGCAGGCTCAGAGTTTTCTGCCCCAAATGGCCCTTCTGCCCACTCCCAGCTACTCCTCTGCTGCCTGGCTTCCCTCAGCCTCTGGCCCCCTTGGCTGAGCAGGGCCTCCCCTGGCCTGGTCCTTGCCCCCCTCGGCCATCGTCTCAGACTCTCCCCTGCTGTCCCTGGGACTGGCTTTGACCTTGGTGTCCCCATCTCCCCGGCCTCCTTTCTCCTGCTCCCTGCCCTCTGCCTCTGGCCTCCCACTGCCCTCCTCTGTGGCAGCCCCCGGGGAGGTGCCCTGGGTCTCGCGCCACTCTGTCCGGCGATAGATGAGGTAGCCGGTGGTGGGGAGCTGGTGGGCCAGGGCTCCGGGGGGCAGGCGGTGGTAGTCCTCCTCCTTGTATAGGAAGAGGCTGAAAGTGTCAGGCTGGGTCACCCGGAACTTGGTGGCACAGAGCTTATTCAGCATGGCAATCGAGGCCCCTGGGGGCACGGCTAGAGTCTTGGAGGTACAGCCACTGCTGGGGTCCTGATAGGCTACGCGGAGGAGGTGCTGTGCAGGAGAAGCAAAATCAAGAACTCAGTCCTGCCTGGTGCGAATCTGGCTGCAAAGCTTGAGGTCTCAGTAGAAGCTCTGCAGGAACAGGGCTGGGATGGTACATATCCAGTGGTAGAATCAGTGGCAAAAGCTTTTTGAATAAGGTGAGCTCTGAGCAGGGGCTCTGAGGAAGGGAGGGATGTGCTTGGGCTAGCGGGTCACAGCTGCAGGCTGGAAGGATGCCCCAGCAGGCCTCTACAGCCTAACAATCCTACTCAGGTGGAGCTTACTCTGCGCCCTCAGTACTTGTCCTGAATTAACCCATTTCATCCAAATATCAACCCCAGGAGGTAGATACTATTACCCCATTTTATAGACAAGAAAATTGAGGCACAAAGAGGTTATATAACTTGCCCAAGCTCCCAGAGCCAAAAAGCAGCAGAGCCAGCATTTGGATCCAGGATCTGGCTATCAAATCTGGACTCTTAGCCAAGGCTAGAAAGGGTCCCTTGACTGGATGGAAGGAGGGTGAAGGGCAGAGATGCTGTTTGGCTCTGAGGACACCACGCCTGAGCCCAGATGGGAGGGTATGGGGGTCACGGGCTGGAAGCCTGAGTCCAGTTGGGGGCCAGAAGCCAGGATCTGCCTGTGTCCCTTTCCCTCCCCATGTCATGTCTCAGTTTCCTCATCTGTAAAATGGGGATAATAATGATCCCACTTCAGAGTTTCTGTGAAGATTCAAGGCTGAGCCGCCAGAGCACCGAGCACAGTGCCGGCTCGTGGAACGCAGCCTCCAGAAAGGCTGGCTCGGACGTGTGTTATGCATGGGGCGCTGTTTCTGTCGTGGGGTAATGCAGGACTGGCCTTTCCCCTTCCCCCTCCTTTCCTGGGTCTCACTGGGCAAAGGAGAGGACTGCGCGAGACAATGCCAGACTCCCCCCGGGGTTGGCCAGTCCTGTTACCTGGAAGCTGTGGGTGGCGGGCAGGCGGCGCTGCTCCCAGAGGCTGAGGGAGGACTGCAGCTCCTGCGAGGGGCTCAGCGGGAGGGTGTGGGCCTCGTTCAGGCCACTCAGCAGGACCAGGCTGGCCGAGAGGCTGGTCAGGTAGTAGCCGCCTGGGACACAAGGGGAGGAATGCGGCTCAGGCTGGGCGTGAGTGACCTGCTCCTTCCGCCTCCTCTGCTCAGTCAGGGTGCCCCAGCCCCACCCAGACAGAAGGGGCGTGTGTGGGGTTCCTCACCCTCTCCAGTGAGCAAGGCAGGCTCCAGCAGCTCTGACATGTACTCGGCCTCCAGCAGCAGCTCAGGAAGGTCGCACTGGGCCAGGACGAGGCTCAGCAGTGGGAGGAATTCATCGGCCCCTGCACCCTCCCCTGTGGGTGGTGGAGGAGGAAGCTTCAGGCTCCTCTGGGACCCCAGGGTCAGAATCCACTACTTATCTTAGACAAGGACCCTCCCCTCCGCCTGCCAGGCCTTGGGCACTGTGGTCTCTATGGCAACCAGGGGGCAAGGCCTGGGGAGTGGATGCTCTGCTTTCTGGGCCACAGTTTTACCATCTGTGAAATGGGAGGGTTGGACCCTTTTTTTTTTTTTTTTCCCCTCCCTGCTGTGCCATTCCTGGAGCCTCTGCCTGGTGGCCTGCCTCTGACTTGGCAGGAGCCAGTGGGAGGTGGTGGGAGGGGGCATACCTGCCTGGGTCCTCAAGGCTGTGTAGAGCAGCTTGCAGGCCTGCAGGAGCCGCTTGACCTGGGCGCTGGGTGAGTAGGCACGAAGTAGCTGCAGTAGCTTCTGGCGCACCTGTTCCATCTCTACTGGGGAGGGCAGGCTTAAGTGGGACCCGAAGGCTCTGGGGCCCTGGGCCCGGGCCAGGCAGAGGCCTTCAGCCAGGCGGCCCAGGGAGCCGTTGGCGGAAAGACGGCGCCGCAGGCGGGCCACCAGGATGGGCCGGAGAGGCTTGAGCACGGAGCGATGCAGCGACTTCTCCAGGACGCATTCTGCAGGGGAGAGGTAGGCTGGGGTCAGGGGAACCAGGGGGGCAGAGTCCCTGGGAGGAAGGGCATGATCAGGAGAGGAGAGGGATGAAAAAGAGGAGGAACCTTGGGACTTCCCTGGTGGCGCAGTGGTTAAGAATCAACTTGCCAATGCAGGGGACACAGGTTCGATCCCTGGTCCGGGAAGATCCCACGTGCCGCGGAGCAACTAAGCCCGTGTGCCACAACTACTGAGCCTGTGTGCCACAACTACTGAAGCCCGTAAGCCTAGAGCCCGTGCTCCGCAACAAGAGAAGCCACCACAATGAGAAGCCTGCTCACCACAACAAAGAGAAGCCCCTGCTTGCCGCAGCTACAGAAAGCCTGCATGCAGCAATGAAGACCCAACGCGGCCATAAATAAAATAAATAATAAATTTAAAAAAGATATGGAAACTTGGTGACAGGGAGGCAGGCGGTGGACAGAATTTGCTTGAATGGTGGTGAGACAAAGTGGGTTTGTAAAGCCGCAGAACAGACTGAGAGACAGGCTGGCAGTGTGGGGAGGCAGAGAGAGTGGAATGGGGAGATGGTGCTGAACCGGCAGAGCCCCGGGCTGGAGTCTTACCCAGCCTTTCTGGTGACAGCAGCTTCTCCGGGCCCAGCTCCGCGCTCAGCATGGCTCGGGCCCGGCTCAGCACCTCGCGGATACCCTGCAGCTCCTGGGTCTCAGGGCCGGCCCGCACCTGGGTCAGTAGGTCCTGCACCAGCTGGCCCACGGCTGTGTGTCGGTCCTGCATCAGCGCTGCGGCTGCCCGGCCCACCTGCCGCTCGGGCGCCAGCAGGGAGCAGAAGGCAGCGCTCATGGACCGAAGCAGCGGCCGCCGGCGGCCCAGGCGGGGTGAGGTTGCTGGGCTCCCCTGGGACCCTGGCACCCCCTCCTCCTCTGAGCTGCTGGGGGAGCCGCAATCCACCTCCTGGAGGGAAGGCAGTGGCGGGAGGCTGGGGCCGGTGCCCCCTGGCACACGGTACCCCACTGAGCTCTCCCTCCGCAGCAGCTGGCGAGAGGGCAACCTTTCTGTCTGGTTGGGGGCTGTCCCTGGCAGCACTGGGACTGGGGGAGGCGGCACAGCTGGTGGAGACAGGGGGCTGGAGGTCTCTGTGGACACACGCACTTTAAAGCTCCTCTTGAATTTCTCCCGCTTGGTGGGACCCAGGTCCCCTGGGAACAAGGGGTTGAAGAAACACAAGGCAGCTCCAGTGCCCTGGTCCAGCTCTTGTGGGGACCGGGGCTTCAGCCTGGGCAGCAGTGGGCCTTCAGATGGGCCTGGCTGAGCCTTGGTGTTGAGGGAGGAGCTCCAGAACTCTAGGGAAGAGAAACAGGTTGGGGCCTCAGGGGGTTCAGGGAGGGGGCCCAACCGAGAGAAAGGCACAGGCTTCAGGCTGTGTGCCCATGCCTTCCCTTTCCCTCTTGGCCTCAGTTTGTCCATCTGAGCAACGGGTAGTAGGGGAGCCCTTACCAATGCCCAGATGGGAGATGGCTTCCAGCTCCTTGCGGGTGGCTGCCTGGCAGATGGCTCTGGGGAGCTGAAGCGGGAGGAGAAGAATGTCCCTGAGGCCAGAGAGGGGAGCAAAAAGTCAGGAGTGAGGAAAGCTCCGGGCTGTGGGCACTGAGAGCGTCTGTGTGGGAGGAGGACAGGGTATCCCAGGGAGCAGGGCCCCATGGACAGCAGGCGCCCTGCAGGCAGGCTCACCGGGTGTGGCAGTAGGCACAGATGAGCTGGACCAGGTCCAGGAACACAAGCTCTGAGCCCTCCAAGGAGACGCCTGAGAGACGGGAAGTGAGGTTGTTCTCTGGGGAACCCCGGTGCCCTGCCTTGATGGCTTCCAGCCCCTCCCTCCAGGCCGGTCCCTCTCACCCCCAGGGCTCTCCTGGATGTAGTGGCTGGAGACGAAGGAGGGGCCGCTGGCCTCGGGCAGCCGCATGCACAAGGCTTGGCACTGGCGAGTGTTAGATTTCCGTACCAGGAATGTCTGCGAGTCGACAGGGGTCGGAGGCTCAGGACCTCCGTGTCCAGCCCCGCTCCCTCCCACCCTTGGCCACCAGCCCCAGGGGTGGGGGAAGACTCACCCCGGGGGGCTCGGTCCTCAGCACGTGCAGCGCGGCCGCGGCGTTGGCCCGCAGCTGCAGCCACACGGGCCGGGTAAGCAGCAGGCGCTCCCGCAGGCTCACGGTGCGCCCGGGCTGCTGGGGCCCACCTGCTCGTGCCCCGCCGGCATCAGGCACATCGTACAGCGGGTCCTGGGCTGGCCTGGGGGCAGGCGCCAGACCTGAGCAGGGGGCCAGGGGCTGGGAACCTTGCCCAACCCTCTCCCCCTCCTTGCCCCAGGACAGACCCAGTTCTGTGGTCCCCCCGCCCCTGCCCCACCGGGTTGCCCTTCCAACTTCACTAACTTTTCTCTCTCCAGGTGCCCAGGTGCGAAGCTGGTTGCGCTGGGGGCTCCGAGAAGGCCTGCTCCAGACTCTCCAGGGGCTTCCATGGCTGGGAGCTCCTTCGGTATCTCCAGGGACTCAGGAAGAGAATCCAGCCCCCAAGGCAAGAGCACTCACATTCCCAGTGGTGAGTAACACTTCCTGAGGGCGGTTCGCCCTGTCACAGCCGCCAGTTAACTCTTGTGTGTCCACTCAGCCCGGGCAGTGCCTGCTTCCTCTGTTCTGGGCCCAGCCTCTGGGGGCAGGGATCGTCTCCACGCAAGTGGCCCTCCGAGGGCCCCAGCTGTGGGGCTACCACCTCCACACAGTGCGTCCTAAAGCCTTGCCAGCCTCCTCGAATCATACAGGTGGGCAGGAAGGGGTTAAGCAGGGCCTATCTAGGTCCCCACAGGCCTCGCCTTTGGGGCACCTTTACGTCTGTGGTCAACTGCTCATCTGTCCACGGTCTTGAAGTCAGCCTTGTGGGAGAGCGCCCCCTACAGGTCACCGATGACGCATTCCTGAGCTTAACTTGCGTTTTGGGATTTCAGGTTGCCGTGGAGAAAGGATGCTGTGTCTCCATGGAAACTAACCTCTTTGCTTAACTGAGGTTCTGGGGGTGGTTCTAACAGTCAGCGCTAAACAAGGGGGAGTCTGGCTGTGAGGTCGTCAGAACATGGCGCTGCTGCCAGCTGCCTCCCACGCACACAGGCTCTGCCAGCCTGCCTTGCCAATCTGCCAAGTGACTGGGGCAGGTGCAGACATGATCCAGTCTCCAAGCACCGAGTACCCAGTCCCCGTCCCCACCCAAGGCCACGTGCTCTGCCTGTGCCACATGTTGCTTCAGACGTTGCTCACCAGCACCAGGCAGTCCAGGGCCCAGCCCCCCACCTCTGGGGAGCAGGCAAGTGGGAGAACCCCCCTTCCCCAGCCTATACCCCAAGTCAGAGTGGGTAGGCTCCCACTAGGCAGTGAGAAGAGGTACCAGGGACCCCAGAAGAGACTGCCTGTCACAAGCACTCTCCATGAGAGCCCTGATTCCCTTGCAAGGTAAATTAGACACACGCCGGTCACGCCAGAGTCCCAGAAAAGGTTTTAATTCCAGTCCCTGAAATCTGGGAGGCGGACACCAGGAACCGCCTTGAGCAGGAAGACCTGGGGAGCCTGCCTTCTCACCTCCAACAACAGCCAGGACACAAAGGTCCCCCAAATATCATTTCTGGCCCAGAGTTCCCGTGAAGTGGGACCCAGCTCACTGGCTCGGTGACTAGGGAGCCGGGTCCAAGGTCAGCAGAAAGGATGTTGCTTTGGCTTAAGATGAGACACATCTTCATCAGGGAGGGCACCGCGAAGGCTGACCTTCAGTGGGGGCAGGTGGTGGGCTGGCCGGGGATGGAGGAGACAGTGTTGCCTGGCTAAGGCAGCTCCAGGCCACAGTTGAACAGGGCCCCGAGGAGGGGCAGAGGAGTCCAGACCAGTGGCGGCTGGAGGGGAGGGCCACAGCAGCACTGCAGGACTGGCTGGGCAGACGCTGAGGGGCCTGTCAGTCTGCCTTTCTGCAGCAGGTAAGTTCAAATGCTGGGTTTGCTGCCAGCTGCTCCAAGGGCCCCCTGGCTGTGAACAGCAGGGTCAAGGTCCTGGGGGTACACAGGAAGGGAAAAATCACTGCAGGTGAGAGGATGCTGAACCAAGAGGGAAGCAGGCACTTCATATGGGGGACTGAGAGGAGTGGCCTCTGTCTGGCCCAGAGCAGGCAAGGCCAGGAGGGCACAGGTCAGCTCCACACCCCTGATTCCTGGGCCTCTCTGGTACTCTGGGCCCACCAGGCCGGCTGCTAGGGCTCAGCACTCCACCCTCCCTAACCAGAGCTGGCGGGGCGGGCCCATCACCTAGCCCCATTACTCACCCCCGCCCTAGCTCCCACAATGCCCTCACACCCAGACCGTCCTGGCTCTCTCAGGCCACTGATCTGACACAGACCCTGCCTCCCTCTGGGCTCCTTTCCTGGAGGCTGGGCTGGGGGAGGAAGAACAACCCCGGTAGTTTGTGGGTTTTTTTGACCAGGGATCGAACCCGCGCCCCCTGCAGTGGAAGCGTGGAGTCTTAACCACTGGACCGTCAGGGAAGTCCCGACCCTGCCGGTTCTTACCATCTGATTTTCTCTTCTGAGGGGACACGGCTGCTCTTGCCTGGGTGGGTAAGAAGAAAACCCCCCTGAGAGCCTGCCTCCAGCTTGGCAAGTCCCCCTTCCACCATCAGCCTTTCTGAGGTGGAGGTGCTGCTGGGTCCGGGCTGCACTAGAGGGGTTGCCGGGGTATAAGACCCCTTCTAGGCAAAGGTTTGATGTGCTCTCCTGTCAGACTCAGGCAGCCCAGCTGCTTTCCCGCCTTCCTGCCCTCCCTTTACCCCCACCCCCATCAAAACCTGCCCTGCAACAAGAAAGGGGCTGATGTAGACTAGGAACTCCCTCCTCCAGAACAGCCTCAGGCCAAACGAGGCTTGTGAGCTCAAGCAATGCCAGGGAACCTGGGCTGAAGGCAGAGGGTGCCAAGGGCTGAGCAGAGAGCTTCCCAGGCCCTCAGGAAGTCCACACGTGGAGAGCCTGCAAAGACCAAAGCTGGCGTCTGGTTGGGGAGGGGGCGCTGCACTGCCAGCCCCCATCCTGAGACACGCAGCACCGGACCCACCTTTTTGATGGCTGTCCAGTCCTCCAGGATGTCGATCTCCTGCAGCATATACACGATGTAAGGGCCTGCAATGGGGGTCAAGGAAGCAGGAAGCCTGGTGGAGGGGGCAGGTGACGGGCCTTGGCCCGGGAGCTCCAACACTCAGAAGAGGCGGTGCTGTGGACAGCGGGGCAGGGAGCCGAGGACCTAGTTAAGAGCTCAGGCTCCACCTCCTACCTCTTGGCCCCCAGGTTCTCGGCAGGGTGGAGAGGTGGCATGGCTATGGCCTATTTCACCCACTCCACGGGGGCCTTCCAGCCTTAACCCTACCACTTCTCAGCTCCCCTCACCTATTCTCCGGTCTCAAGGTCAGAAGGCCAAGGTCCATGCCACCCACTCAGGGATCTGGCCCCTTTCCCCATCTACATCTAGTCTCCTCTGTCCTGAAAACAACCCTCCTTCGGTCTCACACTCCCCTGTGGGGACCAGCCACTCTGTCCCCCTGATGTCTCCACATCCTCACCTCCCATTCACCCTTCAAGTCTCTGCAGTCCAGATTCTTCCCTCCCTCCCTGCATGAACCTGATTCCCACCACCAGGAGGTCAGTGCCCTGAGAATCTGGTTGCTGCAGGAATATGAGGGGTGGGGTGGGGTGCACAAGAGAATTCAATTCAATTCAACTCCGTGCTGCTGTGCCAGGAGGGAGGAAGGCACAGCAGGCCCTGGACCAAAGGGACGCACGCCTGGGGCGGGGCAGAGATGACCATGCCCAGATGGGAAGCAGGTGCCCCAGTTTAGGTACAGGGGTAATACCTAAACAGCCATTTCGGCGGGGAAACCAGGAGAGGCTTCGTGGAGGAAGTAACAACCGAGACGAGCACTGAGCAGGCACACGGGCAAAGGCAGCCGATAGGAGAATGGAAAATCAGCAAAGGCATGGGGGTGGGAAAGCCTGGGACGTCATGGGAAAGCCAGAAGGGCCTCAAAGGAGAGCTCACTCCGGAAATTACGGGGAAATCTCTGGATGGATGTTTCTACTTTTTTACGGTCCACACAGCCTAGGAGGACCCCCGCAAAAAATCCCTGACGGCTGAATTTGACTGGACATGGCCACAGGGTGCCAGATGACCATAAATGAGTCTGGTCTGCCTCTGTCTTCCGTGTCCCTCCACCCTCCTCCGCCCTGACCTCTCGCCCAGCTCGGGCCACCGTGGGGGAAAGGATACCGGAAACAAGAGGGGCCTTCTTCCTCTTGCTGGGCGGCACGGAGCCCCAGGTCTTCGAGCTGCCTCTGGCGTGCAGTTTGTCATCCCACCACTCTGTGCCCCAGACCAGGGTCAGGATTGGGGTGCCGGCCATCCCAGGACGCCCCACCCCTGTAGCCTGCGTCCCTCACCCGGGCCAGGCCAGCCCTTCCCCATCACTCGTGCCCCTACCCCAACCAGGGCAGTGCAGAGAAGCCTGGGCTTGGGGTTGGAAGCTGAGTTCAACCCTGGGAAAGAGGTCACCATGATTTTGTGAGGCTCGCTTTCCTCATCTGTTTCATGGACAGGGGTACGATAATAATTCCTCCCTCCCCAGTGCCCTGTATGAATGTCGGCCTGTGGACATGGAGAGGACTTGGCCATGGCATGTGCGTGTGTCAGAATGACACCTCCGTTCTGGAAATTGAGCAGGGGGGCAGGGGACCCGCTCTTCCTGAGTCCCCACTGTGTGCCAGGCTCTGGGCTAGGCGCTTCCCTGGCTGCTTTCATTCAGTCTCCACAGTGACCACGAAGCAGGTCCTCTTACAACCCCCCTGTGCAGGGAGGGAAGCTGAGGCCAAGACAGGGGGCAGGCACTGAAAGCACAGGGCCTGGGGCAGGGGTGCCCAGCCAGCCGCTCGCCTCACCAGAGCTGATGTCCAGGCTCTGGCGGTCCTCCTCCAGCCTCTGGATCCGCTCCTGCAGCTCCCCCTGCAGGGTGTCGTAGAGCAGCAGCTTCTCACTCTGGAAGAGGCGGAGTGGCTCAGCCAGGCAGGCCGGGGCAGCCACTTCCGTCCCCACCTAGCGCCCAGCGCCCGGCACATTCACCTCCAGGTGCTGCTTGGCTCCCTGCAGCTCACACTCGTACTTGTTCCTGATCACGTCCAGACAGAAGCCCTTGTAAATCCCTGTGGAGGGAGGGAGAGGGAGGTCCTGCTTGGCCAGGGACCCAGGGGCCCATAAAGGGGGGCCAGGGGCACGGGTGAGGCAGAGCAGGGACAAGAAGGGAAGGGGACAGAGAGCCATGGCTTCTGGTAGGGGAACAGGGCACACACCTGCCACCTGAATGCGGATCTTGAGGCTCCGCTGCAGCCCCCCGAGAGGCTCTGTGTATTCGGGCGCCCTCTCAGCTCCCACCTCCTCCAGCCGCACCCGCAGCTGACTCAGCCGTTCCCTGAACAACCTGGGAGGTAAGAGGCAGCCGCGCACCCGTGTGCTCGCCCGTCAAACACGAGCGGAGCGCCCGCTCCACAGCAGGCCCCAGCCAGCCCTGCCCGGCCCCAGGGTCCCTTGCTCACTTCTCCTTCAGCTCCGAGAACTGCTTCTCCAGGTCCAGCATTTCACTGACGCACTCACTGCGGCGGCGCTCGTAGCCCTCATCGTCCATCTCTGGGACAAGAGGCCAGTCAGGGCGGGCGGAGCGGGGGCGGGCGGCACGCGGGTGTGTGGGGCTCACCTGAGCTCTCCTCCTCGGACTCGGTCTGGCTGCCGCTCCGTTCCTCCTCGCTCTCTTCCTCCTCCCCATTCATCTCGGCGGCTGAGTCGCCCTCTGCTTCCATCTCCTCTGTGTCTTTGCTTGGAGGCTGGACGGGCATCTGGGCTCTGGGAGTAGGAGTGGAGCCATCACTCGCCACTGCCCACAGCTCTGAGCGGGAAAGTGGCCACTTGGGAAGTCAAACCAAGCCTCACTGCAGATGGGGACAACCGGGGGGGAGACTGGACTCGCCACACCCTGGGCACACACTGGGTGGGGCAGGTGCAAGTGGCCCTGCCTGCACATCTCCCAGAAGCCTGGGAACCACAGAAATGCCCATGCCCTTGGACGCTGCTAGTGATCCCAATCCCGGGAATAGTGGCCAAGGTGACGATCCATAAGATGGGAAAGGCCAAGGGTGGGCTCCCCACTGTCTGTGGGACTGGGCCCAAACATCTGACTGGGGCTTTCAAGGCCCTACATAGACTGGACTTGAACTGCTGGTCCGGCTCCTTCACCCCACCTTCTAATGCTTAGTTCTCAAATATACCATGCACTTCCTACCCAGCTCCCCCCGCCCGCCGTGCTGCTCCTTCTGCCTGTGATGCCACCACTTCTCTTCCTGAGAACACTCTACAATGCCCATCTTCTCACCGTGCTCAAATCCTATCTCCCTCTGCTTCCTCTAAGACCTCACGTCATCAGTGCTCCCGTCTTCTGCATCCTCCACTCTCCCTCTTGACAGCTCTGTCCCGTGAAACTTTAGATGCGCTCAGGAATTTCCCACCATATAGAAAAAGCAGAAACACAAAACTTCACCCCACTCCACTCAATCGCCCCCCGTTTTCCACCTTTTCCAGGCCTTGCTCTTCCTACTTTCACCTCCCGCTTGTTCCAGTCTGTTTCTGTATCATCGCTCTCAGCTGAAACTGATCCTGCAGAGTTAACAGATGACCCCCTTGTACCTAATGCCAATAGTTTTTGGTGCTTACCTCAGGTTGACTTCTCAGCAACACTGAACACTGTTAAGCACTCCTTCATCTATTCACTCATTTAATCTTTATTGAAAATCTAATACATGCTAGGTACCATCAGACACCATGGTAGGAAGCAGGCACAAGTGTGACAGAAAGACAGTCTCTGACCTCAAGGAGTTTACAAGTTCCTGGATGAGAGAGAGGCCAAGAAGCAGATCATTACTGTGGGGTGAGAAGAGTTAAGATGAGGGGCATATGGGAGAGACAGCTAAACTGGGACCTGGAGCCTGCTGCAGTTTTGAGGGCAGAGGAAGATGGGCCAGACAGATGAGCTGAGCTGGTTGAGGGCGGGAGCATTTAACCAGAGTAAGTAGCGTGAGCAAAGACCCCGAAAGGAGAGAAGGGGCAGGGTTGGGGGCACCTGGGTCTAAGCCTCAGAGAGAAATCTGGGCTGCAGAGATCTGGTCATCACATATAGTGAGTTTTTCAGGCCTTGGGAGAGGGTGCAACCAGCAAGGCAGAATGTGTGGAGTGAGAAGGGGCTCGTGATGGAACTCCCAGGGTCACCAAAGGGGTAGATGATGCGACCCCTGCAAAACAGAAGGAAAGCAGCAAGAGATGGAGGAGGGAAAACTCAAAGCATGGAGAGAACTTCAGAATGAAGGAGACGTGACAGTGCCAAGTGCGGCCAAAAGATCACTCAAGAGGAAGAATAAATAGTCTTCTCAACAGATCATCTCTTTGTCTACTGGGGGCTTCTGGTTCACTGTGATATGCTTGTCTGGGCACTTCTTTTGTAGTCCTTTAGTTCCGTGTAGACACCCTTCCTTATTTATTTACACGTCTATTTGCCCATTCTCATGTCTGTCTCCCCAACCAGTCTGTAAGCCTCACCAGGGCTGGGCTGCACATGCGCTTTATTCGCCTAGCACAGTACTAACTCATTTGATGACTGGAGGATTTGCAAATACAAATTAAACCAAACAAACTTTTGCAGGGCAGGGATTGGCTTTTACTTCTTGGTAGCCCCCGGCCTCTGTAGTGGTAGCAAACGTCAATTCAAGTAAATTAACTGGCCTAGCCTAGAGGACAGTTTCGAAACATTCCTCAATGATTTCACAAATGATCTGACCCTGACCTGAAAACCTCGGTTCTCCAAACCAGCCTCATCTTTCCCATTCTCAAGCCTCAGTTCCTGCATTTCCCAAACTTCGCAATTCCTCTTCACTGTTAAATATATTAATTTTGGAAGACGCAGCGGTAGGTAAGTTCTACCTTTCCGGACCAGAAAGGGTGAGGGGTTGGGGGAGGTCTCTCCAGCAGTCTGAGTCTACTGGGTGAGCTGAATTAAATCACAACCTCCCCCTCCTTACCTTGGGTATAAAAAGAGAATAATAAAGATTGCAAGCGGTAAGGAATGGAAAAGCAAATTATAAGGCACTGTGTACAGGCAGTTTATCTCTCAGAAAGTGAGCATGTCGAGGGCAGGCCTCCTCGAAAGGAAAATTCTTCCCTACCCTCGAAGAAGCCAACACAGCCCCTCTACGGCGCGCCGAGAGCCCCCCGTCCCGCTCCATCTGCGTAGGCGCGGGCGCGGGCGGGACAATCACTGGCTCTTCCACGGCCAGCACCGGTCCCGCGGCCCCCGGCACGCATCCGGCCGGTTAAATCTCCGCTTCGGCCTTGGAGATTGGGCCGGCTCCGACCCACTGGCCGGAGAGGGCGAACCAGGCGCCAGGGTTGGCGTTACGCACCCGCGGGGAGTGGGGCCTCCGGCCTCACGTCCGAGACTCCCTGAGAGGTGCCGGAGGCTGCCGGTACTGGCCACCGCCGCGGGGCTCGCAGAAGCGCCGAGCGAGCCTCTTTTCCTGAGGCGAGAGCCTGTCCACGCTTCCGCATGCGTCATCAGCAGGCGCCCGTCGGAGTGCTCACAATTGGACAGCTCGGGGCGAGGCATGCCGGGATACCGCGGGCCGGTTTCCATAGCAACCGACTGAACTTCACACAGGCTTTCAACAGGCAGGAAAGGCCCTCGTGCGTTTCTTGCTTTGCCGCCAGCGCGCCTCGGTCTGCAGCCACCACGCACGGCTTGAAAGCGGAGACCCCGCGACCTGCTCCCCCACCCCGCCCGGTTCAGGAGAGTAATGGAGCCAGCTTAAGGTGTGAACACTCATTTATTTACACATTGTAGTCGGTAGGCAAATTACCCAGCCCAGCCTATTCAGGGGTCCAGATCTCAGACTCCCACGCACAGAGCCTGCAGACCCATCCCTTCTCCAGGGCCCCCAAGACGGAGGCCTAAGACAACCAGGAAGTTGCCCAAAAGCTAAGAACTAAATCCAACGCCTTCAACTGATTTCTTTCCAAAATGCCCATTTTGTTAAGTACTCAGACTTCTCAGCTCTGCCCCATTCATACTTTTTGCTCTCCTATAGCCCACCCACCCAAGAGTGTTAATAATAATAACCATAATAATAACAACAATAATAATACTGTAATAATATTAATAATACTTCACATTTGTACGAAGCTTACAGAATGTTTTCACATGTAGCATCTCATCTGAACCTCCCAACAGTTCTGTGAGGTAGGTATTCTCACCTCCCTTTAACAGATGGGGTAACTGAGGCTCAGAGAGCGAACGGGATTTGCTCAAGGCCACACAACTAGTTAGTGGTTAAGCTAGGACTTGATCCCAGCATCCCATACTCAAGTCCAGTGTTCAAACACCACAGCTACCACTGTAAAGTGGAGTGACATTTCTTACCCCAGTCAGGCCTGAGGGGCGGCCTAAGGAGTGAGGAGGCTGAGACTTCTCAGACTAGGGGAGGGAAGGGCTCAGCAGTGACGCGGGGAGTCAGGGTACTTGGCCTTCAACTCCTGTTTGAACTGACGGTAAAGGATCTTATTGTGCTGATTTTCGGCCTCTTTCTGGGGATGGAATTTCAGAGCTTCTTTGAAGCCCTTATGAACCAGGAAACCTTCGTTCAACACCTCGAAATCGAATCCTGCCACGTGCAGCTCACAGGCCTGTGGGGGAAGAGACAGGTCAGCAAAATTCGATGACATTCCTAGGGCAGAGACTGACATCCCTGCTCGCTCCAGCATTCCTATTCCTCTAGAGGCATCCTGGATCTTCCAACCATCCAACCACCTCCTGAACTATGATCCCTCCTGCCTCATTGCCTCTTTTCCATCCAGAGCCACTCATAGCTCTCTGACCCCACCATCCATCCTGCCCCATTTCCCCTGCCCTCTCCCTTATGAGCACCTGGCTGATACGATTGAAGCCATACTGCCGAAAGCGCTCGTCGAAGTTGGGCACCTTGCCTCCGGCCACGTAGAATGGCTCCCAGGGGTCTTGCCAGGGCACCACGTAAGCAGGCCTCAGCAAGGTCTCTTCTGGCAGGTTGACCCAGCGGGAGTAGTTGGTGGGCGCCTGGCAGGGGGTGCACAGCCCATAATAGAAGGGCCGCACCTCGCCCACCTGGTAGAGCTGCAGCAGCTCGTTTTTGTTCGTGGGCATGCGGCGGGCTCGACGGATCTCGAAGGCAGGCACCACCAGCGCTGTGCCCGCCCACTGCTTGCTCTGATCCAGCATTTCTCGCAGGCCTCTCCACAGCCCCTCACTGGGCACCATGTCCACGTCGATTACCAGGGCATAGTTAGCCCCCTCACGAGCCAGATTCCTCAGCAGGTTATTGGGGTAGGAGACATTGGTGCCCAGCGCGTAATTGATCCCGGGCTGGGCCACCCTGGCTAGCTTGTCAAAGACCTCCTGGCAGGACCGCAACAGGGCAAACTCCCCTGGCTCCCGGGGGTCGGGCACGGCGGCCTCATAGCGTGAGGGGCACACAAGGTGCATGGCAACCCTGGCACGCATATCGGGGCAGTGGCTGCTCAGCGCGTAGGTCAGCACTGTGGCCAGCTGCGCCTCCTCCTTGGTGGCGGCGAACACCGACACGGATAGCGGGCCCTCCCAGCGCTCCAACAGGCCCGATAGGTGCAGCAGGTTGTCCACACTGGCGTGAGTGGCCAGGATCACATCGTTGGGGTCCATGGTGGTCTTCAGTAGGCCCCTGTAGACGCGATAGTCGCCGCTAGCGTCCAGGACGCCTCCGGAGGCCAGCGCGGTGCGGAGCTGCGCCTTGACTTGGTCCACCGACCGCGGGGACGGGGGAAAGAATTCAAAATATTGGTCTTGCTCCTCCTGCCCGTGCAGCCCGGACAGCAGCGACAGGTAGAGCAGCTGCAGCATCGCCACCAGCATTAGCGCGGCCAGCAGCAGCTGGTAGAAGGCGCACCGTATGGCGTAGGACATCTGCATGGCTCTCGGGGCTCGCGGCGCGCAGCAGAGACCACCGGGCCGCAGCCTCCGCCTGCCGCCGCAAGCCCGGATTTACCGCAGACTGCCGAGCGCGGCCGAAGCGAGTCGAGGCGAGCCGAGCCCCTCGCGCAGCCGCGCCCGCCCGCCCGCGCCGGCCTCGGGCGCGCCAGCTCGCCCCCTGTGCGCCGGGAGGAGCTACTGCATTCTCTGCCCGCGCCGCGCGCTTTGTAAACGCTGGAAACTGCCCGCCACCGCTCCGCCGCGCCTGCTGGGTTCCCAGAAACAGGCACCCCCTCCTCCGGGTCAGTGAGCGACCTCCTGGACCAAGCGCGTCCTGAAACCCCGGCGCGCTCGTCCCCGACTTAGGGAGGGGAAATTGTGGCAGAGATTGGCTGCAGAGTGGTGAAGGATGGCGCGGGTTCCCGCCTGTGGCAGGCGGAAAGGAACACAAAAGCCCCTTTCTGTCCGCCGTCTCTCCCTCCTCTAGGTCTCATCACGTCTGTACTGAGGAGTGCCTGCGAGGGTGCCTGGAGCCGCGGGGATGAGAGATAAAGGAATGTGGAAAAGACTGCTGTACGCGGGACGAGGTGGCCGAGTGGTTAAGGCGATGGACTGCTAATCCATTGTGCTTTGCACGCGTGGGTTCGAATCCCATCCTCGTCGGTCGTGTTTTACAGTGGAGATGATTCTTAATTTTCACAACCCGATGTCTGGAGCAGCGGGTCGAAGAGAACTGAACAGGAGGTGGGACCCAGTTCCGTCCGGACTGGGCCTCTCTTCTGTCTTTGTTCAACCTGTATCCCTGGCCGTTTCATACTCCAGGTACCTGGGCCTTATGGGAGGTGGTTGGAGGTGTGCTTTTCCTTCTCCCTAGAAAGAGGGCCCGGGGTTTGGTGGCACCTAAAAACCAGAACCGGAATTCTGGCCAATGCTAAATTGGGGGCCAATATGTTTTCCGCAGGAACTAGAGAAAACCACCCTGGAGGAGCTGCTCTGTCTAAAGTACTGGAACTTGATGGTGGCAGTGGCGGTGATGCTTGATCATTTAAATTATTAATCTATTCAGTGCACTGATTCCCCTCCCCCAGCACTTCTCCCAGGGCAGAGACCTTGTTTGTATCCACACACCTGCCTCCCTAACACACAGACACACACACACACACACACACACTTAAGCAGAAGGCCTCGAATATCTAACACCAGTCAGCGTACACACAAGGTGCTTGATAAGTGTTTGTGGAATGATTGCTCCATGGACTCTTTCAAAGAGGAGAGGCTGTGGGGAAGGGCAGGTACTTTGATATGTATTGTAGTAACTGTTCGAGCGCTGTGAATCTTGGAAAGGTGCTTTAGGACAGTCAGGGGAGGACCTGGAACGTCAGGATAAGGTGTTCGCCGGCTACTCCACACACAGTAGGGAGCCAAGGTTGTTGAGTTGAAGAGTGATCAGGAGACCTATATTCTGCGGCTCCAGCTTTTGGAATCTGATGCTGTCTCCAGGTAGACAATGTCAGAACTGAGTTGTGTTGTAGAGCACTTAGCTGGTGTCAGAGAATTGCTTGGTATGGGGGAAAAAACCATGCTTCAGAATTGATGCCAAAATTGTCTGTATAGAAATAAAACTGAATTTTGTGTATTCTTGAATCCTGCAACTTTGCTGAAGTCATTTATTAGCTCTAATTGTATGTGTCAGTGTGTGTATTCTTTAGGATTTTCTGTATGTGTGTGTATCACTTGTGATTATGGATAATTTTCCTTCTTCCTTTCCAATTTGGATGCCTCTTATTTCTCTTTCTTGCCCAGTTGTTCTGGCTAGAATGTCCAGTACGAAGTTGAATAGATGAAATGGTGAAAGCAGGCAGCCTTGTCTTTTTCCTGATCTTAGGGGGAAGACTTCAGTCTTTCACCATTAAGCATGAAATTGGTTGTGGATTTTTCATAAACACTCTTTATCAGGTTGAGGAAGTTCTTATTTATTCCTTGTTTGTTGAGTGTTTTTATCTTGAGAGGATGTTGGATTTTGTCAGATGCTTTTTCTGCCTCAGTTGAGATGATCATGTGGTTTTCCCCCTTCATTTTGTATTTGGTGTATTACAATGATTGATTTTTGTAGGTTGAAACACCTTGCATTCTAGAGTAAATCCCACTTGGTCATGGTGTATAATTCTTTTAATATGTTGCTGGGTTCAGTCTGCTAGTATTTTGTTGAGGAATTTTACATCTATATTCCTAAGGGATATTAGTTTGTAGTTTTCTTTTCTTGTGATGTCTTTATCTAGCTTTGGCATCAGGGTAACGCTGGTCACATAGAATGACTTAGGAAGTGTTCCCTCCTCTTGTATTTTTTTTTGTTTGTTTGTTTGTTTTTTTTGCGGTACGCGGGCCTCTCACTGCTGTGGCCTCTCCCGTTGCGGAGCACAGGCTCCACGCGCAGGCTCAGCGGCCATGGCTTACGGGCCCAGCTGCTCCGCGGCACGTGGGGTCTTCCCGGACCGGGGCACGAACCCGTGTCCCCTGCATCGGCAGGCGGACTCTCAACCACTGCGCCACCAGGGAAGCCCCTCTTGTATTTTTTTGAAGAGTTTGAGGACTGGTGTTAATCCTTTAAATGATTGGTAGAATTTGCCTGGGAAGTCATCGGGTCCTGGAGTTTCCTGGGAGGTTTTTGATTACTGATTCAATCTCATCCCTTGTTATAGATACGTCCATATTTTCTATTTCTTCTTGAGTTACTTCTGGTAGTGTGTGTTTCTAGGAATTTTTCCATTTCATCTGGTATCTCATTTGTTAGCATACAGTTATTCATAGTGTTCTCTTATAATGCTTTTTATTTCTGTATAATCAATAGTAATGACCCCCTTTCATTTCTGATTCTAGTAATTTTCAGGTCTTCACTTTTTTTCTTAGTCTACTCAAAGGTGTGTCAATTTTATTGACCGTTTCAAAGAACCAACTTTTGGTTTCATTGATTTTCTGTGTTGTTTTTCTATCTTCCATTTTGTTTATCTCCAATGTAATCTTTTTTTTTTGGCCACATTGGGTCTTCGTTGCTGCGTGTGGGCTTTCTCTAGCTGCGGTGAGCGGGGGCTACTCTTTGCTGCGGTGCACAGGCTTCTCATTGCGGTGGCTTCTCTTACTGCGGAGCGCAGGCTTTAGACACACTGGCTCAGTAGTTGTGGCTCGCGGGCTTAGCTGCTCCGTGGCATGCCCACTCTAATCTTTATCATCTCCTTCCTTCTGCTAGTTTTGGGTTTAATTTGCTTGAGATCCTCCTTTTTAATGAGGCATTTACAGCTGCAAGTTTCCTCTCAGCACTGCTCTTGCTGCATCCCATAAAGTTTAGTATGTTACCTTCATTTCCATTTGTCTCAAAGCATTTTCTAATTTCTCTTTTGATTTCTTTTTTAACCCATTAGTTGTTTAGGGGCATGTTGTTTAATTTCCACATATTTGTGAGGTTTCCAGTTTTTCTATTATTGGTTCCTAGTTTCGTTCCACTGTGATTGGAAAAGATACTTTGTGTGATTTTACTCTTTTAAAAATTATTGCAGGGACTTTTCTGGTGGTCCAGTGGGTAAGACTCCACGCTCCCAGTTCCGGGGGGCCCGGATTGAATCCCTGGTCGGAGAACTAGGTCCCGCATGCATGCCGCAACTAAGGAGTCTGCGTGCCGCAACTTAGACCTGGTGCAGCCTAAATAATTTTTTTTTTTTTTTTTTTTTTGCGGTATGCGGACCTCTCACTGTTGTGGCCTCTCCCGTTGCGGAGCACAGGCTCCGGACGCGCAGGCTCAGTGGCCATGGCTCACGGGCCCAGCCGCTCCGCGGCATGTGGGATCCTCCCGGACCGGGTCACGAACCCGTGTCCCCTGCATCGGCAGGCGGACTCTCAACCACTGCGCCACCAGGGAAGCCCCTAAATAAATTTTTTTTTTTTAAATAAATATTTTTTAAAAATTATTGCAACTTTGTTTTGTGAGCTAATATATGATCTTCCCTGGAGAATGTTCCGTGTGCACTTGGGAAGAAGGTATATTCTGCTGTTTTTAGGTAGAGTGTTGTGTGTATGTCTGTTTGGCCTGTTTGGTTTGGAGTGTGTTCAAGTCCTGTTTCCTTGTTGATCTTCTGTCTAGTTGTTCTATCATTTATTAAAAGTGGGATCCTGAAGTCTCTATCATTGTAGAGATGTCTGTTTCTCCTTCAATTTTGTCAATTTTGACTTCATAGTTTTTAGGACTTTGTTGTTAGGTGTGTATATGTTTATAATTATTGTATCTTCTTGATGGACTTACGCTTTTACGAATATATAATATCCCTCTTTGTCTCTTCAATGATTTTTGAATTAAAGCCTATTTTTTCTGATATTAGTATATCCACCCCAACTGTCTTTTTTGGTTACTGTTTACATAGAATATCTTTTTCCATTCTTTAACTTTCAACCTATTTGTGGTTTTGGCTCTAAAGTGAGTTTCTGGTAGATAGCAAGCATATAGTTGAATCATTTTCAAATCCATTCTGACAATCTTTGACTTTTAATTGGAGAGCTGAATCAATTTAAAACCAGCAGGTGTCCTCCTCATACAAAGGTGAGCAACTGGAGGATAAGGACTGACCTTGCAATGTTTGTGTCCCTCCACCAAGCCTGTCTCAGTGCCCTCCACATAGAGCCCTCTCCAACTGTTTGCTCATGGACACTGGCTGCTTCTGAGGGAACCTGGGCCTGTTGGCAGAGCTGTGTCAGGCTGGGGATGTGGCGGTGGCCGGGGGGCTGGGCATCAGGAGAGGGATGAGCCAAGTGTAGCCCATCAGCCCAAGAATTTTTCTAACATCAAAACCAGCTGCATCCTGATCTGATGGGAAAGTTGGGCTAGGTATACGGGGAAGGAGGACAGGAAGAAGGAATTCCATGTTGTGACATCATAAGGACATCTTTCTGGGCCCATCGTCCACTGCTCAGCCCAACCCGGCTGAACGCGGACCAGTACCACTGGGTTCCCCGGGATGGCTGGGTCTGGCAGGTCTAGGGAGCTTTTGGGTACAACAGACAACAGTCTCTGAAGGTAGAGAAGGAGAAGGGGACCTAGGAAGTACTGGGGTCCTGCTCCCACCAGTCCCAGCCAAAGGGTACAGCTAGGCCTAGTGGTCTGCACAAAATAATCCCAGGACTACAACTACCATTTAGTAAATGTCAGTCTGTACTCCAGTGCTTTCTCCAGGACTGCAGTCTCCAGGAATCCCAGTTCCCACTGCTGGGAAAGGGCCTGGCTTTGAACCCAGGACTGTGGGTCAGGGCACATGCACTTAACCACCAAGTTAAACGGCCTCTGTAGAGGCAGCAGCCTTCTCTTCTGTGTGCCTTCTCCTCTCTCTAATCCCCTGGTTAGGCCTCAGCCCTAAGGCCCTTCAGCGTTTGTCCCCAGCCCACTGCCCCAGCCTCATCCTCTCCTGTCCCCTTCCTCACACCCTAGGAGTTTCCGCTCCCCCGTGACCTGCCGCCAGAAGTCCCCACTGTTCCCTGAATATTCCGTGTCCATGCCTTCCACATTTTCTGGTACCTCTCCTGGGATGCCCCTCCCCCACCTCAGCCCAGCAAGCTCATATTCATCCCTCAAGGCCCAGCTCAGGGAACACCTCCTCAGGGATGCTTGCCCCAACTTCCCAGTTGAGATCACTGGCCCCCTCTTCTAAGAGTTTCATATTACACACTCTGCAGGGTCCTCACAAGCCCCATCACAAGTTACGTTCTATTTCCCATGGCCTTGGGAGGAGGGTCACAACTCCTTCAGGGTTACCAGACCAGCCAGAACCTGGCACAGTGAAAAAGGGTTGAAGGAGTGTGGCTTTATTTCAGCTCCCAAGGTCATAGCTTGCCTCACTTTCCTCTTTGGTAGCAAAGCAGCCTCCGGCTTCTGAGCAGGGGGCCTGTGCTGGCTCAGCGCCTGGCATATAATAGGTGCTGAGGGAATGGTCACAGAAGGCAGGAGGGCAAGTGGGCAGAAAGGCTGCTGCCTGTAATCTCAAAACCCCCTGCTTTTCTCTGTGCTGGGCAGGGTAGCACAGGTGTGTGGCCAAGCAGGCCTTTCCTCCATCCCTGTGGAGAACTGGCTGACTGCCTCTCTGAGTCTCCATTTCTGAAAAGGGGGAGCCTGGGGAAGCAGAGGACACCGGTGGGGGAGAGAGCGATAGTCATCCATGCGGCCAGGCACTCTGCCCGGGAGCACAGGGCTCCTTGCAGGCCAGTACCCCTGGGCCATAATGTGGTCAAGAGGGCCCAGCACAGGGATGCCCACAAATCCCTGCCACTCTCAGGGCCTTGGTCATCCCATCTGTCAAATGGGTACAATCATCCCCACCCCACCCAGCTCATCAAAGCCAATAGAGCTGAAAGCACTTTGGAAAGTGAATTCATTGTACAAATGGAGAAGGTTATTATTAGACCCAGGAGCAGGGTCAGAGAGAAAAAACAAGCAAAAAGGTGGAGTAAGTGCTTAGGGCTCTCGCCTTGAGCCCCTCAAGGAAAAGGGAAGCAGGCCGTGGGCAGGAAGAACAGCACCTACAGGGAGGTGGGGGCTGGGTCCTGGCTCTGCTGAGAACTGGTCACTTCCCCCTGGGACTCGGTTTCCTCACCTGTACAGAGGGGAGCACAATCCCTGCTGGCCTCCCTCCAAGGGCCTCAGTGTGGCTTCAGTGAGAGAGCGGGTGCAGAAGAGCTTTGCAAACTGTAAAGTGCAGTGCACACATGCAGGCTAACTGCAGTTCTGCGACCCAGGCCCAGCTGGGCTCTGGGGAGTGGACACAGTAAATGCTGGCGACAAAAACCCTGTTTGAGGCCCAGAGGGTCCTTCGAGCACCCTCAGATCCTGAACTCCTTCTCCCTGTCCCTTCAACTTCCCTGGAATCCTCTGTTCTGGAGTCCAGGAGACTTGACCATGGTGTCACTGAGGCCTGGAGAGAAGAGGAGCTCCTGTCCAGGGCTGGCCCCCACTCCCACTCTGAATCTGAAGCTGCGGCCACACCAGCCACACAGTTGGCAAGTTCCCACCTGTGGCCTCTGAGCCCCGGCACTTGGCCAGTGAGTTTTTCATGATTAACAAATGCACTCCTGATGGTGAGGAAGGGCCATTGTCCTCGGCCCTCTTTTTCATGATCATCACCCTTTCAGTGAGGTCTGTGTGCATCTAGATAGTCTGTCTCTGTGCGTCAACTCCACTCCTGGGGAGGGTTAGAATGGCAGGTGGTGAATTCTTCCTTGCAGCACCCCAGGTGGCCACCAGCCCAGGAAAGAGAGCAGCACCCGCCTCTTCCTGGGACCCTCGGACCGTGGGGCCCCAGCCCAGCAGAGGCTTGAGCCTGGCCCACCATTCCCCCTGTGCTGGGTCTCAGCTCCGAAGAGAAGATGCTGGGAGAGCCCTGGACGGAGCACTTTAGAGCAGCGCCTTGAGGAGGAAGGAGAGCGAGGCTCCACAGGAGAGCCCCAGAGCCAGGAAGAAGGTCATGAGGGTGCCGGCCACCTCCCTCTCATGTGGCAGCACCTGCCTAGAACACACAGGAGTAGGAGCTCTTAGAAAATGTCAGGCCCAACCTGGACCCAGCCCTGTGCCCTCCGCCCTCCTAACAACAGGACGCCTGAGTTCTAGTCTGGGCTGACCCAACCTCTGGTCGCTATAATTAGGCCCTTCTCTCTGGACTCCAGTTTCCTGATCTGTAAAATGGGGCCACTGGACATAGACATCTCTCACGCCCCTGGGGCCTAGATGCAACTGCCTTCCTTCCTGGCAGAATGTCCCCTACCTGGTCCTCCCGGTCACCTCTGCTCTCCCTGGATTCTCAACTCCATTTTCCCTAGAGTAAATAGACCAGGAACTCTGCTTGTGATCAAAACCTTAGCTCCCTTGCAACTGAGAATTTGGGGGAGTAGCTGGGCCCTAAGGAATGACAGTCCAACCCATTTATTTCACAGATGGCGAAACTGAGGACCAGAGAGGAGGCCCCAAAATCAGTGCCTGGGCTACTTTACTGGGCAGGAACCTCCCCAGCCAAGTCCTCCTCTCCCCAGCTCCTGGCCTGGGGCCAGCTCAGCAGTTAAAGCCTGACCTGGCAGGTGGCACCAGTGAGGCCCCTCAAAGAGCTAGCCCACCTCCCTGCTCCCAGGCCCTCCCCCCCCCCCCCACCTTCCCATCCCCCAGACCTGGGCGCCAGGCACATGGTGAGGGACACCAGGTAACCATTTGAAACAGCAAAAAGCAGCATGAAAGTGATGAAGTAGGCGTCCTGTGGGAAGAGGATGGGCAGCCGGGACCTCTCAGGCACGTGGCACAGCATGAAGAGTGGCACAAACAGGACGCGCAGGCAGACCAGCAGGGGCAGCAGCCGGCTGTCTTTGTCTGGCTGCGGCAGAAGGTTGGGGTGAGGGTGGTCCCTGGGAGCAGGGTCTCTGCTCCAGGGACACCCCAGATAGACTCAACTACCACTTCCCCTGACCTACTCCATGTGTGCCAGTGAGGACCCAGCACTTGGGCCTCTGGAGAGCGAGCAGCTGGGCCAAGGCCACCCAGCAATCAAGGACCAGCCTGGGACTAGACTTTGCCTCTCCTGAGCTCCAGTTCATGCTCTCTCCATGGCAGAACTAGACAAGCATCTTCGGTTTTCAACATTGGTGGCTCTGAGCACCCCTGGGTTCCAAAGACCCCTTTGGGGAAGATGGATTTGGAAGCTGGGGAGCCAGGCCCCGTCCTGGCTTGGATGCACAGCTTGTGGGATCTTAGTTCCCCGACCAGGGATTGAACGTGGGCCCTTGGCAGTGAGAGCTCGGAGTCCTAACCACTGGACCACTGGGGAATTCCCAGAGCAGCTACTCTTTGATCTACTTTGTTTGTTGTGTGTCCTTGGAAGATTTCATTTAAAGAAGCAGCATCTTGGCTAAAAGCAATCTCAATACTAGGAATCTTGTCTGACCTCCCATGTGGTGCAGGAAACTCCACATAACAGTCTCTAAGCACCAGGGCCTGGGCCCTAGGCTGGATGCTGGAGACACAGGTCAATTGGACAAGGCTTCTGCTTTCAAAGAGTTCACAGTCTAAGCCCTGGCTTGCATATCTCCAGGGACCAGGTGCTCACTGCTAAACCAGCCAGCTGTTCCATTACCAGACCCAGACCAGTGGGACTGTTGGGACATCACCTTTCTGTGCTCTTTCACACCCTCTGATCCCCGACTGCTTCCCCAAACCGTCAGATCACCCCAGCCTAGGTGTGCTCACCCACAGGAAGTAAGAGGTCAGGCTCCGTCCCAGACAGTCCATGACGTTGAAGAGAAGGAAGCAGCAGATGGGGTTGAAGAACTGACCTGGGAGGGAGAGAGGGCTTATCCTGGTCCCGGCTGCCCTCTTCCCTCTCTGCCCTTCATTCCCACTGCCCTGTCCTCTTCTGCTTCCCAGCACTCACTCCACTTCCCAGGGCTGGTGGAGCTGGTCACCATGGCTGTGATGGCTGGGAAGACGGACAGGGTGACTGTGAAGACCAACACAAGGCACAGCGCCGTCAGCCAGATCTGGGGGTCGGAGGCAAGGGTGTGAGCAGGCAGGCAGACCCAGAGCCCAACACGCAACCAAACCCTCCTGCTCAAGCCCTGGCCCAGGAACAGGGCACTGGAGCCTGGCCCAGCATGTCTCTGACCCACCATAACCCTGTCACCTTGGGTGGACCAGGTGAGTACAGGCCTCAGCGCATTCTAAGAGTCTCTGGGGAAGGCTGGAGAGAGCAGCCCTCTCTTCCCCAGGGGTGGTGGTTGGGGGCTATATCCAAGCCAAACCTTCTGGAAGACAATGAAAACTGAAGGTTTCCCTGGCTTCTGGGGTTCCTCTGGCTCCATCTCTGTCTCCTTCTCAGGGTCAAGATCCAGAGTCAGCGCTGCCCTTTGGGGGCTGTTGGGAATCCCGTTCTTCTCATCTGGGGCAAGAGGGGAGGGCAGGGTCATGCCTGTGACCCACGCTTGTGACAACCAGGCCCGAGGGAAGGAGATTCCAAGCAATTAAAACAAGTGACCCTCCACCAGCCCAGGGTGCAGGCAAAGAGAATTAACAATGGAAAGATGCCGAGCTACTATTTATTAAGCCCATACTTGTACCTGGCAGAGTTAAGCACCTTAAATGGATTATTTCACTGCCATTGCTTTACAAATTAAGAAACTGAGGCTCAGAGGGGTTACGTGACTTGACTAAGGTCACACAGCTTGGGTGTTATGAAGCTAGAATTCAAACTCAGACACACTAGGATCTAGAACTTGTATGCCTGAAGCTCTACTGCCTCCCCATTTTATAGAGGAGGAAACTGAGGCCCAGAGGGCAAAGGGATGACTTTAAGCCCATTGACTTCCCTTCAAGATCTTCTGCCTCTGATTACACGAGGCTACTAGGGATGAGGGTTCTAGTTGGGGACGGAGGGGAAATGCTTCCCTGTGGTGGTGCCTCTAGCCTCCGCTGGGACCTCCACCTCCCTGTCAGGGTCCCGGGCTCACCAGGCTTGAGGAGCTCAGCTTTGGTCTCCAGCTCTTGACCTTGTGCCTTTGATGGTTTCTTGGCCAGGTAGTAGCGGGCAAACTTCTGCAGAAGGAAAGCGTTGTCCCTGCCTGGCTTGGCTGAAGTGCCTGGATCCCTCCCCACCCTGTTGACTTAGAGGCTGGGGTCCCCCAGTGGCTGACTCCTTTGGGGATCAGGGCTGGGCCCAGGTCCCCTCTGCCTCCTTTGGCCTCTCTCAGGGCCTCAGACTCAGGGCTGTATCTGTGATGCTCTGAAGCGGGCCTTGAGCCCAATACCAGGCTCACCAGGTGGGGCAGGCTCAGGTAACACACGATGGACATGAGGATGCCCACGCAGGGCGTGATGAAGTACCCCAGGGCGGAGGTCTGGGCATCCACGCCACCTGTGCAGAAACTTCAGCTGCAGAAGGGAGGTGGCTGGTCCACCAGCTCCCGCAGGGCTAGCAACTCTTTTCCTGCTTCGCATTATGCATGTCTCAGATTCACCTCCCGGCATCTTCCATTCCTCCCACTAACAGACTCAGGACCCTTGTGCCGGGGGCCCCAGCCCAGCCCTTCACTCCTCTCACTCTTCCCCGTGTGTCATTTTTGTTGAGCACCTACTATGTGCTCATTATTACTGCATGCTCCTTACAATCTGAGGGTGGAGCTATAATAATCATTCAGGTGGGGAACCTGACACAGGTAAGTGCCAGCCAATGCCCCCAGCTAGGGAGCAGTGGAACCGGGATTCAAACCCAAGTCTATCTGAATCCCAAACCTGTGCTCCCTTCCCTCAACCTCAGCCTACTGCCACATGCCAGTGCTGGCCTCAGGGATCCTGCCCCTGGCCCCAAGTTAACCCAATCCTCACCTAGTCATTCTCTCATTGTATAACTCAAGAGCCCCAAACCCAATCCCCAGCTCCCCCATCACCCCATCACCTCCATCTCCACCAAAGCCCAAGGCATCCTGCTCTTGGCACATTCTCTCTGCTCCCCAGAATCCCAGAGGCCACCCCTGCCCTCCAGCCACCCAAGTCTACTCACTGGCCATGGACATGAGCATGGCAAGAGCAGCGAAGATCCCAGCCAGGCCCTGGCCGCTGAGGAAGAGGGTGCTGTACGTGGAAGGCATGGTGCCCAGTTGCCCGAAGAGGCTGCCCTGCAGAACCGCACAGAAGGCTGTGGAGGGACAGGATTGGGGGCCGCTGCTCAACTAGGCAGGCCTTGGGGGCTCCCTGGAGGAGGTGTTGGCAGGGTGCATAGGGGACTCTGGACTAGGTTGGGTAGGCATGTTCCTATGTAACACCCCACGTTCATCCCTCCTCCGAGGTGCAGCCCTAGGTGTGAGGGGCTAGGGGCCAGGAGACCTGCTCTTAGGTCGCTGTTGGGCCTTGGACGAGTGACTTTTCTTCCCCCCTGGGCCTCAGTTTCTCATCAGGGATATGGGTGATGCTACTGCTGTCTTCCCTTCTTGGATACCTTGGGCCCTTTCAGTAAAAAGAAGAGGCTGGGCTGAAGCCCTGGGGGGCTGGGTGGGGAGGTGGAGAAGGGCAGCGGTGCTCACAGTTGATGAACCAGACAGAGGCCATGGTGATGGAGAAGAAGGGCTCAGGGCTCACGTCCACCTTGACCAACACCGCCGTCAGGGTAAAGAGCAGCAGGATGACCAGCAGGCTGCCCAGAATCCGCACCGTCTCGGGGATGCTGCTCAGAACGGAGGAGGGCAGCGTGGGCATCGCTGGGCCCAGGCCAGGTGAGGGGAGGGGGCAAGAGTCTCATCCCAGGGCTGGACAGTGGGGGCTGGGGAGAGATGCAGGGGGGAGGGGAGGAAGCATGGGAGGTCTTCCCTGGGCCCACATGGAGCTGCCTCAGCAAAGGCCGGGAAGGAACAACACAGGGATGGCCCGGCATTGAGCCCAAGGGCAGGGCTTCTCACCACTGGTACAGGAAGGAGTTGAGGAGTGTGAAGAGCAGCAGAGGCAGCTGGGACAGCAGTGTCACCCAGTTGTTGAAGTTGAAGGTATCTGCAGGGCTCGTGTGGTTGGTGCCCAGGGTCTCGGTGGTGGCGGTAGCCCCTGCCAGACGCCCCTGGAAGTACTGCCAGGATGCCAGGGCAGCGGGGTACAGGGTCACCCTACAACCTACCCTCAGGAACCCCCCAGCCTTCTCCCTCTGCCTCCTCCCGTGCTTGGGATTGCTTCGTTAACTTCTGCGGGACTGACTCTCTGTCTTTGCACCGTCCCCAGCACCTGGCACACAGTTGGAGCTCGATGAACGTGCATTGAATTGAATGGCTGAAGTCTGGGACCGAGCCCAAGCACTAAGAACCCCCAACTTGGGCTTTGCTCCATCTTTGGATCACCCCTCCTCTCCTGTGCCCTGGCTCCAGCCCCCACCCCCACTCCTGCAGCAGCTTCCAGGTTCTCAAGTATTTATGGAGCTCCTACTGTAAGCCAGGCTCTGGCCCAGGTGCTGACCAACTGCTTTCTCTCTGGAACACACATCCTGCCACGACTCTGCTTAACTCCCCCGCTCCCTGTCCATGGCTCCCTGTTGCCTGCAAGGCAAAGCCCCAAGGTTTTGGAACAGCATTTGGGGCCCTTCAGAACCAGACCCTGGTCTCCCTTTTGTGCCCCATTTCCTGTTCCGTCCTGCTAAGCTCCAGTCACCCCAAGCGCTGGCCCTTACTCTGAATAAGCTGGTACTCTCCTGCCTCTCGGTGTCTTTGCAAGGCTGCTATCTCCGCCTGGAGTGCCCTCTCCCCTCCTACCACTCCCCTCCCCCAACACAAATGCTTTACCCAAGTTACAAATCACCTCTTCCGTTAAGCAGAAGGAATTGCTCCCTCCCCTGGGGACCCACGGGACTCTGCTCCAAGCCTGGGATGGCACGTGTCATGTTACATTATTTATATTTCTTATGCACCCATCTTGCTCTCAAGACCATGGGCTGATTCATCTTTGGGTCTCCAGGGCCCAGCACAGAGCCAGGCACTAAAGAGGCATCTGGAAAGTTGTTGTATTTAATATATAAGAATAACCCAGTCCCAAAGAGAACACAAGCCCCACATTCCTGCCTTCCCTTGAAAGAATGTAAGCTCCGTGAGGATGAAACCTTCCTCTGCTATGTTTCCTTCTGTACCCCCAGTGCCAGGAATTCTAGGTGTACATTAACTATTTGTTGGATGAATGAATGTAATTCATGCTATTTCAAAGAAAAAAAAAAGGCTTGGATAACCCAATTTTTGAGTGGCTAGCAAGGAATAATGACAAACAGGGGAAGTAGGTGGGTAGCTCCTTGCTGGTTCCACAGGATCCCCTGACCTGGTGGCCTTGCCCCTCTAGGATCTGGGCATCCCTCAAAGCTTGGTCGTCCTAGCCATGAGAGAGGCACCTCCCCTCCCTGAGGATCCTGCCTCAGCCGACAAACGGACATAATGAGGAATCAAAGGCGGCGTGGTGGGGAAAGGCAGCTGGAGGGACGGACGGTGGCTGTGACCGTGGGGCTGTCACTCCAGCCACGAGTCTCACCGGGATGGCTGTGATGAAGAAGTTCCAGGGAAGGAGGGTGCCCAGCCCCAGGAGGAAGAAGCTGATCCCGACCAGGTGGTAGCTGTAAGGATCATTCAGAAGGTCACCCGGAGGACGTCCCGCTTCGGCGGCCCCTCCCACCTCCCAGGGCAGCGCCTCCAGAGAGCGGACTACAACCCCCATCACCCAGGCTCAGGCACCCGAGGGAGGCGGCTGACGGGAATTGTAGTTCCAGCTGGTCTGCTTTGCGCTTTGGAGAGCCCGAAGGGAGCGGGTCTGAGCTGCCCACGGCCACCGGATCCCCATACGCACCCCATCCGGTCCCCAACTCGCCTGTCCTGGGGGGCGTCTCCTCGCGCCATGGCCGCCCAGCGGGATGCGCCCGGGTGGGAGAGAGATGGGGAAGCCGCACCTGCACCTGCTCCGGGGCCCGTGGGCCGAGCCGGGGACCCAAGAGGCTAGGTCTTGCAGGTGGTGGACAGGGGAAGGGGGGGTCGGGTCTCCCCGAGTCTGGAGCGGGGTAGGGGGAGGCTGGAGCCGGACAGGGAGCCTCGGGCCGATTTCGCCTAGTCTCAGGCTCCGCAGGCTCCGACCTCGGCTCCGCCCCCGGGGCGGGGACAGAGGGTCGCACCACCCCTCCCGGCCTCAGGACTGGGGACTCCAGACTCCCGCGTCTGATCCCGGTCTGACCACGCCGTCCCCGGACCTCAATGGCCCCCGCGCCGCCCGAGAGGCGGTGACCTAGGAAGATTCCCCCGCCGCCTCCCCTCTCTGCGGGCGCCTGGCCCGGACCAGTGTGGGCGGGGTGGGGGGAGGTAGCGGGAAGGTGCCCCCCCACCCCCCCAGCGGAGTGCTGTGGAGCTGACCTGGCTCAGGGTTCTCCTGGCTCCGCCAAGTCGGAGGTGGTGCAGTGGCGCTGCCAGCGCCGGCTAACTTGGCAGACCGCCGAGGGGCCGGGTCGCCGCGCGCCCGCCAAGCCCCGGCCGAGGGTGTAATCCGAGAGCGGCCGGTGCCGGGGGAAGCCAGAGAGACCGTCTGTCGCCAGCGGTCCTGGCGGGCTGCGCCTAGGTGGGTCCCCCGGGAGGCAGAGGGGAGGGCCAAGTGCAGGTGCCGGTCTGGAAGACAGACGAACAGATGGACCCTTCTTCTCCAGTGGGTGCCTGGGGAAGCGCCGGGACTTTGGGGCGCACGACGGAGGGGCGAGTCCCTCCGGGGCCTCCAGGCGGGTTTCCCGGTGGCGGTGTGGCTGAGCTCCGGAGCAGTGAGGGGCTAAGCAAAGGGTCCGGAGGAATGGGTGAGCCGGAGGTGAGCCCAGACCCGCTCCCTAGCCTCGCCTGGTGCCCTCCTACCACCGCCGCTTAAAAAAAAACAAACTTTCAGCGGTCCCACGTCACATCTTATCAAATATTAAGATGCATCCACTTCCCACTTTTTTCCGTTAAAAACTTTGAAAGATGATAGACCATTGCCCTTTTGTAATTAATTCTCTCTAACTCATATAATTTACGAGTGGGTTTGTTTTCTCTTCAATCGCCATGCGTATTGGGGATGCTGGAGAAACAAGAGGTTTTAAATCACAAATTATTTTCATTAGTAATGACATTTTTTGGCCATTTCCAGGTTCTTGTGTTTTGTTTTGTTTTTCTCTAGCCGACTGTGAGTATGTGAAGCAAAGACTGTACTTACCTTTTTTTTTTAATATTTATTTATTTGGTTGCACTGGGTCTTAGTCGTGCCAAGTGGGCTCCTTAGTTGTGGCTCGCCGGCTCCTTAGTTGTGGCATGTGAACTCTTAGTTGTGGCATGCATGTGGGATCTAGTTCCCTGACCAGGAATTGAACCCGGGCCCACTGCATTGGGAGCGCGGAGTCTTAACCACTGTGCCACCAGGAAAGTCCCTACTTACCTGATTTATTGTTTATTGCAAACATCTAGCGCCACTGCCCGGTACATAGCAGGTGCCTGATAAATGTTTGGTTAATAAATGGATTGCAGTGATATACAAATGATTTTAGGGAGAACAGAGACATCATTAAATTACAGTGAATGAGAACTTTATTCTGTCTTCAATTTGCTTTCAAGCTTTCGGAGTACAACAAGGGGGAAAGTCTCAACTGCGGTGCTAGCATGTTTCTAACACCTGTTAACCTCTCTCTCTCTCTCTCTCACACACACACACACACACACACACAAACTGGCCTCAGGGCTTCTGCTGACAACTTTACCTAAATAGAGATTAATAACTTACGTTAATTCTATCTATTTTTATAGTTACTTTATTTTTAGGGCTACTTATGCTGGTTTCCTATTTATTATAAGGTATACTTTTCCTTGAAAATGAATGTATTTATACACTTAATGGGGGGGGCACAGCTGTGACACAAGTTTCCATGGAAGTACATGAGGAACTGAGGTTTAAGGAACATTGCATTTCTGAGGCTGTGAGCGAAGACGATGAAGGCGTTTCACCGAGAGAACAACCCGTGCCACGGTCAGGGACATAAGAATGCCGACACATTCTGGGACATACAAATAGATCCCTGTGGCAGGCACGGCAGGAGGAGGCGACAGAGCTTCTGCGAGAGCCGGTCTAGTTATGACCGGCCTGAGGGCTGAGTAAGGAGTGTGGATTTCATTTTAAAGGAGGGGTTCTCCACTCGGTCAGACTCAGTCATCCTTCTAAGAGAAAATATTTTGTTACTATCCTGCAGTGAAATTCATCTGTAATAAAACCTATCTATATATGCAAAAGTTAATGTCAATAAAATACCCTAATTGTACTACCCAGGATAGAGAAAAGTATCTAGTAATAAAATAATGTGTGTTTGAATATGTTAATGCTCAGGAACAGTGAAGCAGTCAGATTCTGGCCCCTCTTTATAAAACCACTGTTCATGCAATGGCTGTGAATGCATACACAGTACAGGCGAACCGGCCACTCCAAGACCACTAGTTTGCTATTGGTGATGTGATTTTCTGAAATGGTGACCAAGTCTTGGCAAAATTCCAAACAAAACAAAGTGCAGCTGTCCCTCTACATAGAGTCGCTGCGTTACTGAAAAATGCTGTGTATACTCGAACCTTACAAATAATACATTTTATCCATACATGAAATGTGATTACCACTGTTCATGCAATGGCTGTGAATGCATACACAGTACAGGCGAACCGGCCACTCCAAGACCACTAGTTTGCTATTGGTGATGTGATTTTCTGAAATGGTGACCAAGTCTTGGCAAAATTCCAAACAAAACAAAGTGCAGCTGTCCCTCTACATAGAGTCGCTGCGTTACTGAAAAATGCTGTGTATACTCGAACCTTACAAATAATACATTTTATCCATACATGAAATGTGATTAGTCTAAGAGAAAATTATCAACATGGTTTTCAAAAATAAATAATAGATTTTATTTTTAGTACTGTTTTAGATTTACAGAAGAGTTGAGTAAATAATACATAGAGATCCATATACTCACCCTTGCACTCCATTGCCCAGTTTCCCCTATTACTAACATCTTGTGTTAGTGTGGTACATTTGTTACAATTGATAAACCAATATCAATATATTATTATTATTTTTTAATAAATTTATTTATTTATTCATTTATTTAATTTTTGGCTACATTGGGTCTTCGCTGCTGCACACGGGCTTTCTCTAGTTGCAGTGAGTGGAGGCTACTCTTTGTTGCGGGGCGCAGGCTTCTCATTGTGGTGGCTTCTCTTGTTGCAGAGCACGGGCTCTAGGCGCACGGGCTGCAGTAGTTGTGGCTCGCGGGCTCTAGAGCGCAGGCTCAGTAGTTGTGGTTCACGGGCTTAGTTGCTCCGCGGCATATGGGATCTTCCCGGACCAGGGCTCAGAACCCGTGTCCCCTGCATTGGCAGGCGGATTCTTAACCACTGCGCCACCAGGGAAGCCCAATATATTATTATTAACTATAGTCCGTAGTTTACATTAAGATTCACTCTTTGTGTTGTACAGTCTATGGGTTTTGACAAATGTATAATGTCATGTGTCCACTGTCACAGTTTCATGTAGAATAATTTCACTGCCCTAAAAGTCCCCTGTGCTTTACCTATTCACACCTTTCCTCCATCCCCCGAACCCCTGGCAACCACTGATCTCTTTACTGTCAATATAGTTTTGCCTTTTCTGAAATGTCATATAGTTAGAATCATACAGTACATAGTCTTTTCCCAACCTCAGCACTACAGACATTTGGCTGGATAATTCTTGGTTGTGGGAGCTGTCCTGTTCATTGGAGGATGTTTAGCAGAGTCCTAGACCACACCCACTAGATGCCAGTAGCACCTTCCCCCAGTTGTGATAATCAATGTCTCCACACATTGCCAATTTGCCCTGGGGGCAAAACTGCGCCTAGCTGAGAACTGATGTTCTGGAGTCTTTGTTCTCAGCTCTGTCAGACCCAACACCCTCTTTTTTTTTTTTAATTGAAGTATAGTTGATTTACAATGTTGTGTTAGTTTCAGGTGTACAGCAATATATATATATTCTTTTTCAAAATATTTTCCATTATAGGTTATCAAAAGATATTGAATATAGTTCCCTGTGCTATACAGTAGGTCCTTGTTGTTTATCTTTTTTATATGTAGTAGTGTATATCTGTTAATCCCAAACTCCTAATTTATCCCTCCCCTGTTTTCCCCTTAAAAATAAGTGTGTTTTCTATTTACAAACATTCTATTTCTGTTTTGTAAATAAGTTCATTTGTATCATATTTTTATTTTTTTAAATTTATTTATTTATTTATTTTTGGCTGCGTTGGGTCTTTGTTGATGCGCACGCGCTTTCTCTAGTTGCCGTGAGCGGCAGCTACTCTTCATTGCGGAGCTTGTGCTTTTCATTGCGGTGGCTTCTCTTGTTGCGGAGCACGGGCTCTAGGCACGCGGGCTTCAGTAGTTGTGGCTCGCGGGCTCTAGAGCATAGGTTCCGTAGTTGTGGTGCACAGGCTTAGTTGCTCCGCGGCATGTGGGATCTTCCCGGACCAGGGATCAAACCCGTGTCCCCTACATTCTTAACCACTGCGCCACCAGGGAAGTCCCCACACTCGTTTCTATCTTCCTCCTTGACATCTCTTTGCTGATACGGGCCACGAAGAATTGGGGATTATTTGTTGCCACAGTATAACATGGCCTACCATTACAGCTCTAACTTGTCAAGAAGTTCTTCCTGTTACTCTATTTAAAATTCCAAACCAATTTCCCCATCCCACAACCCTGCTCTACATTTTCTTTTTCCATAAACTTAACACCTCCTAATTTTTTTTTTCTTTTTTGGCCACGCCACATGGCT